TGTTTTTAAATTCAGTGTATTTTACAGCTGCTGTGTTGTAATTGTTAAGTTAAAGCAGATGATAATCCATATCTAATTTTAATGACAAAAACATATTAAACTTTAGATAAAATTAAAACTGATAGGTAGATAACACAAAGAACAAACATGGCCAGGTTGTTAGGCGCTCGACTCGCAATCTGAGGGTTGCAAGTTCGAATCCCCGTCCCGCCAAACATGCTCGCCTTTTCAGCCGCGGGGGCGTTATAATGTGACGGTCAATCCAACTATTCGTTGGTAAAAGAGTAGCCCAAGAGTCGGTGGTGGGTGGTGATGACTAGCTACCTTCCCTCTAATCTTACGCTGCTAAATTAGGGACGGCTAGTGTAGATAGCCCTCGTGTAGCTTTGCGCGAAATTCAAAACAAATAAAATAAATAGATAAGTAACTGAGAAAAAATTTAAAGAATTATACGTAAAAACAAAAACTGAATATTGTGAAATTATGCAGTGCATATTTGACACTTTTACTATTAACGACCATCGTGTGCTGATTGCAGTACCTATTTTGAAATCAAACCACGACAGGACTTGAATTAATTTTAGGAATGGATAGAAACCGCGACTTTATGCAAACGTTGATAAAATTTTCTTGAAACATCAATATTATACATGTTTAACTACGAATTTATTAAAAACTAGCGGTTTGTTTGTTTGTTTTGAATTTCGCGCAAAGCTACACGAGGGCTACCTGCACTAGCCGTCCCTAATTTAGCAGTGTAAGACTAGAGGGAAGGCAGCTAGTCATCACCACCCACCGCCAACTCTTGGGCTACTCTTTTACCAACGAATAGTGGGATTGACCGTCACATTATAACGCCCCCACGGCTGAAAGGGCGAGCATGTTTGGTGTGAAGGGGATTCGAACCCGCGACCCTCAGATTGCGAGTCGAGCGCCCTAACCACCTGGCCATGCTGGCCAAAAAACTAGCGGAAGCTAATTATTCAAGATTTACTGTTGCATATAAGTCTTTTTTTTTTATGGGATGAAATTGTCAACAACATACTTCCAAGGCTTAAGATGTTCAATTCTTTACACTTTATTTGAGTCACAAAGTTTTTTGTCGCAGATTCTACTCAGAGCTCTTAATCCTGGTTTAGCGGAAAAGCCTCAAAAGTATGCTTAAAATCTCATTTGTCAAGTACTTTTTAATCTTTGTTATTTCTGTGTTTAAGCCTGTTTTTATCTCCATTGAAAATAGTATAAAGTTTCACAAGAAACAACTGGAGTTTAAAGTGAAATTTTCTCAAAATATTTTCAACACAAAGGATGTTAATGCGTTCAGATTTTAATAAGTTTAAAATCTGAGTTAGTTTTGTTATCTAAACTTTTAGTATAAGAATAAAAAAAGTCGAATAATGGTTTCGAAAAATATCGTGACTAAAATAGACCAAACATTAAAGTCGAGTCTTTTAAAAACCTTCTATTTTTAGCTGAAGAAAAAAAAGCACTTTCCAGAATTTGAAAGAAGATGACGTATTGAAAAAGACAAAAACCATGTAAAGGGTATTTAGTCCGTAGTTCAGTCTCAAATACTATTATTATTATTGTGTAAACCAAAAAAAAGTTGTTGTGTTTAATTTTATGATTCTAAGAAAAATGATAATGTATTAAACAAGGATTAAGGATTAACAGGGTAGAATGTAGTAGTAGATGGCGTAGTATTCTGTACATTGATATGTCACATGATTGAAAAGGAAATATAAACGTTGGAATGTTCTTGTGATTTACACTCCTGAAGATGACGTGTGGAAGGTCGAGACATGTAAGGTGTAGTTATTTGCCTAGCCAACAACTCAGCTAGTAATACAGATCCCATGAAATCAAAATATATAGAAAATGGCATTAATTGTTTAGTTGTATTGTTTGTTTGTTATGAATTTATTTCGCGAAAAGCTACAGGGGGCTATTTGCGCTGGCCGTCCTTAATTGAGCAGTGTAATACCAGAGGGAAGGCAGCTAGTCATCACCACCCACCGCCAGCTCTTGGGCTACTCTTTTACCAACGAATAGTGGGATTGACCGTCACTAACGCTCCCACGGCTGAAATGTTTGGTGTGACGGGGATTCGAACTCGCGATCCGCAGATTGCGAGTCGAGCGGCCTAACCCCATGGGCATGCCGGGCCATTTAGTTATATTTCTTGGTGCTGATTACCTCTTCCGAAACTAATTAAACTGTCTTTATTTTACTATTTTAATGCACAGTACCAAAGACTGTAGAAGACAGGGACTGAATTAGTGAACTTAAACTTGTTCTCAATCTACAATGATTTAAACGCTTTTAAAATTTTGCATTTAAAAGCACATGTTTTAAGACACTGTCTGCTATACACGTTTTTAAAACTATGTATCATCAAGTTATTTTAGAATTTTTACATTTTCCTAATAAAACCTTACATTTGTTAACGTTTTGCTTATGATCCGCGACCCGGCATGGCCAGGTGGTTCGGACCCCCGACTCGCAATCTGCGGGTCGTGGGTTCGAATCCCTTTCACACCAAACATGCTCGCCCTTTCAGCCGTGGGGGCGTTGTAATGTTACGGTCAATCCCACTATTCGTTGGTAAAAGA